TTTTCCCCTATTTATCCTAGTTGGATATTTTTATAGCGGTTGTTTTATATTATATACGAAGCTACCTCGGCAGCAACATCTTTAGAAACAGCAAAGCCGTAGTATAGATAAAATAATAGTAATGCAGTTCTTACCTTTCGAATTGATTGACATATTTAGTAATTAAAATAATCGATTATTTACATCGATTAAATTTTAATTGCTAAATTATGTTGCATATATATTATTAAAATCACTAGTTATGATGATTATTTAGGCCCTGATACCGCCCACTGATGGTTCGGGGAAAGAACTTGTCGCGGGCGATACTTGGGGTTCTTTCCCCGAACCATCAGTGGGCGATATAATTACCTACCTATATATAATTACCTATCTCTTATTTGTTTTTATAATAATATAAATAGTCCAACCTTTTCGCTCCAAACTCCCGCTACGTCAGTTCAATCCATTCATCAATGTAATTGTCAATGTCACAAAGATTATTTAGGCTCTGGCCTCTGCCGTTTCGTTTCAGGTTACTCTGCCTTAGATAAAGGAACATGATAAATGACCATTATTAAAAATGGTAAATCATTTATGATTTACCATTTTTAATAATGGTGCCTCTCACGATAGTTAACAATATTGTGTTAACATTTTGTTTTCTAGTAAATTATCACATCATTTATAAGAAATTCGTTTGAATAGACAACAAATAAGATTCCGTTTCGTCAGGCGAATGAAATTAATCTGTTATAGTGGAACGAATAGTGGACTGTTGTAATATTCTCAGTTGTTACCAGTTAATATCAATGGCCAAGATTAAGTGGTATTACTGTCCATACACAGTACACACTGACACTCACGTGTCAGTCCGTGATATGTAATAACATAACGGCTACAGTCCAATACAGCAACATTAGCCGCTGAGAGTGAAGTTTTTTTTCATCTCTCAATAGACGTGCCCCTGATGTAAGTAAACAGCAACTTACAAAAACAACTTCTATAAGTACTAGAACCAAAATTTACGGATCGGTGGCCTGTATCTATAGGTCGGTGGTTCATATCCGAAGGACATTTGGTCCTTCGAGCCGGATTGGTGGGCTATATTGATATACAAATCTACGTATTTCCAATGGGAGATGACAGGTTGTATGGAAGTATAGTTATTTTTAAAGCTAGTAGCTCGAAATATATTTTTAGGCTGGCAGACGACGCGACACCGCGGGCACATCTAGTAATCTAGTTCCACAAAAAGTGGCAACAATAAATATAATATTGCGTCTATCAAAACTTAATGCGTGTGTCACGAATGATGTGTACCATTATCAGTAAGTCAGTGTCGCGGGACTGTTGCACAATAGATATGTAGCACAGATTCACAGCTGGCGTCACATCCTGCACGTGAGGATATTCAGACGTTGTATCATCTTATATATAAAAGTCTCGTGTCACAATGTTAGTTACCATACTCCTCTGAAACGACTTGACCGATTTTTATGAAATTTCATATCAATGTCCGGAACACTGTTGTCCACCCCAAAATTTTTTTTATGAGCAAAATTTTTAATTATTTTTTTATTATGTGTCATTAAAAAATACATACAACCCTAAATTTTCACCTTTCTGTCACCAACCCCGATTTTTTAATAGCGTTATTAATTTATATGGCAAAACAACGTTTGCCGGGACAGCTAGTAACGTGAAAATGAGGCATAAAATATTTATGCGTCTTTATCTTGCATGCATTTTTTATGGGATTCAAATGGCAAACTAACCCACCAGTAGAGCATATAGCCTACTCTGTAAGCATCACTTACGAATTCGAGTGCGGATTCCGCGGTGAGTTAGTTCATTGATTGTGTAAAACTCGACGGATATCACCCTGTCATCGGTGTATTGTTAATCAATAACTACAAATGCACGTGGGCGGACGAGCTCCAAGCGTCGTCAGATTGATAACGAGACAAGCGAGATACAAGATACAAGTAAGACAGGGCGTCGCGTCGTCCGGCCGCGAGCCGAGCCGCTTTGAACCGAGCCGTCTGACCGCAGTAATTACTAAATAATTACCGATTACCAAATTAACCAATCACCCGTCAATCAATCAACATATTAATTTACATGTACGTGAAACAACACGCGCCGTTGCACTCGAGTAATTAATAAAATGCATACCCACTATACCCACTTACTAATCTATACATCTATACATATAAATAAAATTGGAGTGTCTGTTTGTAATATTGAAATAACCGGTTTTTACTACATGCATCCGAATATAATATACAACAAAAAAACATTTTTTACAATTTTTGTCTGTCTGTCTGTGTGTGCCGGATAATGTCTAAAATGGCTGGATTGATTTTGACGGGACTTTTATTGACAGTTAGCTGATATAATAAGGAGTAACTTAGGCTACTTTTATTTTAGAAAAATAAAGTTAAATTCCATACGGACGAAGTCGCGAGTACAGTTAGTATGATATAAATATAAAGTATTTATATATTGCTCACTGAAGCTATTTATATATACATTGCAAAAGTAATAATCACTATCTATGCAGAATCGGTAACGGTTGCATAATACAAAATAAGTGAACAAAGTAAGAAAGTATTGTATTGCAAAATTTACATTTAATATGTCAAATAGAGGCACGAGGAGTCCATCTGTCTGTACAACTGAACAGAGGTATTTCCTCCGTTTAAAAAAAAAGCACAGATTAAAAATATTATGTCGTCACGTCACGTGTGCAGGCAGACTAACCATTGAGTTATATATGAAATTGAAGTATTAGAGAACTTACTGTAGTATTTACATACAAAAAATATTCCCCACACGCGGTAAATAATATAAATATTATTATGTATTACGTAATTCTATATGACTTTCTGTTTAGTGTACTTTTTCTTATTTAGCCTTATCTATATAATGTAGTTTTTAGACATAAACAGTGATGAATTACAATCAAGTTCAGTACCAATTACGTGCTTGATAATGTAGAAAAATATACTAAAAACGTGCGTTGCTAATAAATAAAAATTTAAAAATAATATGCAGTTTTTTTTTAAACTCAATCTATAATCAGCTCAATCAATAGTATTCAAACCCGCATCTCTTATATGCGTTCTCTATTATCGAAATTTGTAACTGAATTCAAAGACTGATTATCTATTAATAAAACTATCACTGACTAATACTATGACTGAGGGAAGTGTATTGTTAGTAATTTGGACTAGTATCCGCAATGCTAGCAATGTACCAAAATAAATTGACCTCCACGGGGTTCGCCTTGAAAATCATCAGATAAATACCTTGCGAAATCGTCACGATGCTGTCCTGACCTGATACCTGACCTCATGCTCATCTTATCATCCTCCATTGATGCCCCGCCAACGTAAATCGTTAACGCAGGAGTGTGAATCTTTCCATTATCATCCATTAAAAAAACTACTATGACGAACCCCTGAATTAATATCGTATCGTAGCCTATGGACCTTTGAAACACTAGGGGTGTCACAAGCGCGTTGCTGATCCTTAAGAAATCTTAATATAATACAACGTTCTTAAAAACCCCATGCTGTATTCTCGCAAGAAAACCTCGGCATACCTGTAATTAGAAAGCGCATGGAATAGTATCGGGTCTTCTAATACGATAGACGTTAATACATCAATGTGTACCACCTGCCGGCTCGCCTGGTCACCTGACGGTGAGCCACCAGCCGCCGCGACGTGTGCAGGCCCAGCGATAACATCTATATAGAGGTGAAATAACAAATTGATCTGATAAGACACACGATGAGCTCTTTGTCATGTTGAAAATCAACATTACCGTCCTTTTAAAAGTAAACTGCGTTAATGAGAACTTACTTAATTTATTATTGTTACTGAACTTTTCACATATGTTTATTGTCGTGGAAAACGAGTAAACTATATATTTTTAGCAGCATAACGGTGAATATCAGATTTTAGTCAAATAAAAATCGTCAGATGAATAGTTGTTTCTGAAATTGTATTTCTATTTATATAACTAGCTACTCGCTCGGGTGTACATGTATTCTATAAACCTTCCTCTTGAATCACTTTATCTATTAAAAAAACCGCTTCAAAATCCGTTGCGTAGTTTTAAAGATTTAAAGAATAACATGTAGGCTATAATTTATAAAGACAATGTAAATTGGGCAATATATTATAAAATGATGAGCAAGTGTGATGCAGACGAGGTTGCGCAGGTCAGCGTATACTACATACGATTTTGACTGGACTTTTTTGGCAAGTAGCTGATATAATAGAGAGTAACTTAGGCTACTTTTATTTTAGAAAAATACAGTTAAATTCCACGCGGACGAAGGCGCGGCGCGGGTACAGCTATAAATATAACAGGGGGGCTGCCTGAAAACCAGCGCTGTATAGGGACACCTCACTAAGGTTGTGCTTATATCAGCAGCTCCTATTGCTGAGGCAACTGCTATTGCCAACTTCCATGTTATTATTTATTTCTTATTTTGTGTATTATTGTAAATTTATTACTAGCATTTACATAACCTAATTGTACAACAAAGAACCTAAAATTAAAAAGCTTAAAAAATATATATAATATGATGACTAAAATATATTATTAAAAGGGGTCCCTTTAGGCAACGTTCCGAAGATACTGGCAGCGTTCCCTCTTATTGTAAATTGTATTATTAGTGTTATGTTGGCAATAAATCAATTATCTATCTATCTTCTAATATTAAAATATTAGTTAATACCTGTAATAATAAACAAAAAATATGTACCTATACCATAATAATAAAATGAGTGTAGTAGGAGTCAACATACAGTAATACCGCTACATGTGACATTACAAACTAATGTTTAAGATATTCACAATGAAGTGGGTAGTCAATATTTTTAATAACATATCGTCCGCTTGCCTTCTGTGGCGCATTCAGTATATTATTGTCTGTTGTGTTGTGTTGTGTGTGTGTGTGTGTGTGTGTCGGACTAGTGTTGACCAGTGCTCTGTTTGTGTCCAGGACCTGCTGGAGAGGATCTTCAGGCTGTTCGACGCGGACAGGAAGGATTACCTGGTGCAGGACGACTGGCTCGAGTTCCTCAAGCAGCGCCTCACGTGAGTAACGCTCAATTCTAGTTGCTATTTCTACTATCTAAAAATGCTAATCTTAGTACTGAAGATAATGTATACAATACACTCGTAGCTTTACATTATATGTGAATAAACATACATATATAATATATAGATAAATTTAGCAAGTTCACTAGCTAACTGATACAACTATTGTAAGTGCTGCTAGAAACGTGATGAATATTCTCCTTTCATTCCTATTATTAGTATTATATTATATTTACTATTATTAAACTATACCAAAACGTGTAATACAGTCGATTTTATATTAAACACTTTCTCCCAACATGAAAGATTGTCTGTCTGTCATGTTGATATATATCCATCGACAAACATCAAATTATACGATTCAAAAAGTATATTTCTGTTTTAATTTTATTATTACTATATTAATTATATTATATTAATATATAATCATAATGAATTATCACATTGTAATTAATTACAAAAATGTCTACTCATCTTATCAAATGCTTTAAGCATTTATGTTTATTACAATCAAGAGTTATATAATATTTTATAAAGTGAACTGTGCCCGCGGATTCACCCGCATGAAATTTATAGTCTATGTCTACGTATTAGATATATTAATGAAAAGTTTCATCAAAATCTGTTCAGTAATTTTTGCGTGAGTAACAAACATCCATGCATGTATCGATCCATAGTCATAAACTTTCTCGTTTATGATGTTAATAATATTAATTAATAGTTGTGTTGTTGTGGTGATGGTGGACGGTGGACAGTGACGAGAAGCAGCTGGAGCTGGTGGAGCAGGTGGAGAGCGTGGCGTACGTGGTGTGCGGCCACGGACACATCACGCCGCACGCCTTCCGCACAGTGCTGCAGAACAAAGTGGTCAGTACCACCACACACCACCACACCACCACACCACCACACCACCACCTTACCACATCGACAGGAAATTCATCCCCACACGCTAGAACCTAAGTGATCTAGGATAGTGCGGTTTCAGAGGAGCTTCCTCCCGCGTACACTTACATTGTGGAATGAACTACCTGCCCAGATTTTCTCGAAAGACTATACAACATCCGGTATAATAAGGTTTCTTAAGGGTTGGCAATTTGCACGTGACACCCGTTGTGTTTCTTACGTCCATAGGCTACCACCGTTTACCATCAGATGGGACGTATGCTTGATTACCACCATAGTAGTATAAAACAACACCGAATAGTACGAGTATATCTGGCTCGCAGCGTAATGCGCAGTCTAATGTGACCTACGACAATATCTGTATCTTTACATAGTATAAAACAAAGTCGCTGTCGCTGTCCCTATGTATGCTTGCTATGCTGCTACATTGTATAAAAATATGTTTAGAAATGTCGGAGAAGTATACGATCCGACTATACGTGAATATATATAGCAGCCCTACGTGTATCACTCGTGAGCTATTGGACCGTATGATATGTCTGACACAAGTTGTTACAAGTTCACTTTGTACAAAGTGCATCTTACTACAACTGTGCTACAAAAAGAAGAGGCTACCTACTTCAACTGTCACATTGTGTGTGTGTGTGTGTGTGTGTGTAGGTAACAAACAAGCTGTTGAAAGTGGTGGACAAGGACGGCGACGGCTGCGTCACCGCCGACGAGATCATGGAGTTCCTCTCGATGGTCACCAGCAGCAGGTAACAGTCCACACCATCCTGATATTTAGAACAATATTTAATATATTATAGTGTTAATAAATTACTAATATGAATGGTTATGACTTCAATCTATAAAAATATCAATAATAATAATAATAAGATTACATTGTGTGTGTGTGTGTGTGTGTGTCTCCCTGGGAAAGTGGTGAACCCCGGCCGACTGTGCTTCTGCCGGCGGTAAGTTGCCATCTCCTCTCCTTAAGAGGGGAGATGAGAATTTTTGTATTTTAAATAATAATAATAATATAACTCTTTATTGTACATACATAAACAAAGGACAATAAGGTATTATAAGTACAGTACAGTATATAACGAACTGGCCAAAACAATATTAATACAAAAACTTGACGTTCATAAACGGCTAAAATGTTTAATGAATAAATAATTTTTTATTTGATTTGAAATAAATAAATATTTCAATTCCGCGGATTTCCGCGATACTAGTTCACCTTAGTGCTGGGTTCAATGTTTTAAAATATAGTATTAGTATATATACGTAATTATTTAAAATAAATAAAATAAAATATGAATTCACTACAGACCTCAGGCCGGCTTCGACAAGAGCAGCGTGGACCGGCTGGAGCAGCTGTTCCGGCAGACCGTCGGCGACCAGAAGGAGATCACCAAGGAACAGTTCAGAAACATCGTCGACTCCAAAAATGTAAGTCTGTCTAGTATATGTACAGTATACATACAGTGCACAGACGTATGTAAGTTACAGCACGGACACTGCTAACTGTTTATTTATTTATTTTAGTTAATAATAAAAACACATGATACTAAGTTTTAATTACCATCTTTTATACTGTGCTTTTTAAGCAAATAAATTATTATTATTATTATAATAACGCTGGCCAATTGACACAGCGCCATCTAGTTCCAAGCTAAGCAGAGTTTGTGTTATATGTACTAGACAACTGATATAAATATAAATATGTTTTTTAGTAACTATAATAATATACATATAAAATTACACCCAAAATAATACAAATAATAATACTCATAAATACAAAAGTTTGATATTTGCGAGGAATCAAACCCGCGACCATCGGAAGTAAAACGGTGTGCTAAACCGCTAAACCACCGAAGTCGTCAATGTTATGTGAGTATTTTATGACTGTTACCCAGTGAATCCCCGGTGTACAGTTAGTTACATATGGCGTGGTATAGCGCGAGGTACCTACCGCCTTGTGATGTGCGTTGTTGTTGTTGGTGCGTGCTTGCAGTCGTTCTTCACGGAGCGCGTGTTTCAAATATTCGACGAGGACAACTCGGGCGCGATCTCGCTGCAGGAGTTCATCGCGGCCGCGCACCGGTTCGCGGGACACTCGCCCGACGACAAGATACGGTTCCTGTTCGAGGTCTACGACATGGACGGTCAGCACTCACACCACCCACCACCGTCACACCACCCACCACCGTCACTTACTGTTACTGTTACTACACCTCCAACTATACATTCAAAAAGTATTTATTAATACAGGACTTTTTTTTAGTATTTTTTCCTTAACCTTTAGGTACGTGTCATCTACGCGGACGACGTCGCGGGAACAGCTAGTTCCTTATGTATTTACGGTTTGGATATAGCGACTGGAGACTGTGAGGCGTGATGTCTGCGGTTATAGATTTCAGAATTGCATTTGCAAAGTTTAAATCGGGAATGTTTAAAGAATAGAATAGAAAATCATTTATTCAAATAAACTTACATTGAAGCACTTTTGAATAGTCATTACCTACATTTTTTAATCTACCACTCGTTCGGAAAGCTGTCTCATCACAAGAAGAACGAGCAAGAAACTGTAGAGAATATGTATAAATGAAGGGATGTAGATACAAGTCGAGTCTCCATCCTTCAATTGACATGTTTTCAGAGAGACAGTAATGGTAAAAGGTGTTAGGTTATACACTTTTGGTAGGTTCTTTCTGCCTTCCCTACAAATGACCTAGAATTAAGATAGATATATAAAATATTGTAGTAGTGTCAGATATTAAATTGTTTCTATTTATTTGTTTAATTACTTACTAAGGAGATATGCATGAAATTTTTTTGTGTATAATTATGTTGTGGTGGCGCGTGTCAGGCGACGGTCTGATCCAGCACCGCGAGCTGCAGCACGTGATGTGGGCGTGCATGGAGGAGAACGGCATGCAGTTCAGCGACGAGCAGCTGCAGCAGCTCACGCGCGCCATGTTCGAGGACGCGGACACCGAGCACCGCGGCGCCATCACCTACGAGGCGCTGCGGCACCAGCTCACCAAGCACGACGGCCTCCTCGAGAACCTCTCCATCAGGTGAGCGGTGTCCGGACAGAGAGCGACATGCCATGATGGGCACTTCATCAATGCCATTGAATTATGAAGTAGACCCTTTGTTTGTAGGTTTCTAATATAATGTCTGTTGTGTTACAGCATAGATCGGTGGCTGGTGCCACCGAAACCGGAGCCAGAAAGGATATCTCTGTGGCAGCGCCTGCAGAAGCTGAAGCCGTACCAGCTGTCGGTGCCGTACTTCAAGAACAACTACGTGTTCCTCATCTATCTGCTGCTGTTCACGCTCGTCAACGTGGGCCTGTTCGTGAGCAGGCTGTACGAGTACTGGGACGCTGGTGTCTTCACCATGCTGGCTCGGGCTTGCGGTTAGAAATATTGTTGACTTACCTACATCGTAACAGATTTCACCTGCAGATAGATAGAAGGGAAGATATTAGCACATTCTTGTCAGGTGGCTGCATGCATTATTGTATTTCGATTTTTATTTCTCTTACCTCGATGTATAATGTTGCATCTGTTCCGATTTGGTTTTTAGTTTACAGCCAAAGAATTTGAAACCTTAAACTAAACTGACGGCACATCTATCGTGACTATCACAAGTGTCTGTAATAGATCTAGACTATTATACAGCAACTGATTTAAAAAGACTATCAGATTTCTAGAAATTTCGATAGTATCATATGAAAGCCGCATTAAATCTGTAGAACTAACGATTAATTTTGTATGACTAAAGTCAGAGAATGTATGTAATGAATATGATGGAATATAGTGTGCTACTGTCAGGTCAGTGCTTGAACTTCAACTGCGCGTGGGTGCTGGTGCTGATGCTGCGGCGCTGCATGACGCAGTTGCGGGTGCGCGGCGCGGGCGCGCTGCTGCCGCTCGACCATCACATCTACCTCCACAAGCTCACCGGCGTCCTCATCGTGCTGTACAGCCTCTTGCACACCGTCATGCACCTCTGTAACTTCAGTGAGTATACACTATACGACTCACAACCGACCATCGACTGATGCCATCTCAAACTAGGCCGAGGTATAGGTCTTTTATTAAACACTTGACCGATGTTAATAATAATATCTTAGGGCAATTCCCATAGTGTCATCTAGTCCCAGCTAAGCAGAGCTTGTGTTTTGGATACTACAACTGATAAAAACACATAGACATTTTTTTGTAAATAATACCGTTAACGGTCTATGTACTATACATAGACCGTTAACGTTTGGGTTCGTTGGTCGAGTTCGATCCCTCGTACGGTACAAATATTTGTATTCAGCAGTATGGTTGTTTGTATCGGTCTGATATTTCTATATATTTATATCATTGCAATTGGGTCGTCATGTAATTTTTTTATACAGAAGAGCATTAAAGCTCTTCTCAAGAGTGTTTTCGTCCAAAATTTTTTTAAGTACATAGACAAATAGTCTATGTACTTAAAAACCTGAATTTTGAACGCGTCAAAGAGTTCTAAAATAGGACAGTGTACAATGGGAGATAATAGGTACCATTGAACAAAGCCATCAGTGATATTGACAGTCAGTAAGTGTATGTAATTGTTTGGTGACAGGTCTAGTAGTGGTCAACGATACAAATATAAACGCGAACAACTTCACATTGTACGAGTGGCTGCTGACGGAGCGGCCGCGCCGCTTCGGGCTGGTGGAGGGGTGCGCCAACCCCACCGGCCTCGCCCTCCTCCTCATACTGCTCGTCATGTACGTCTGCAGCCAGCCCTTCATACGCCGCGGAGGCAGCTTCGAGGCTAGTACTCACCAAGTCACTATCAAAACTAATGAAAACTCACCAAGGCACAAACAGAAATAATCAAATCAGATCGTAATGAATATATATAAAAATACAACCAAATAGTCAATTAGTTTAGTTTATTATTAGAATGCAAATTATGGCTATTGTAATCAACTATATTATCGATAGTGCATCTTTATTCTGGCAGTACAATGTTGCAGGTTCGTAATAATTACTAATAAATAACTAGTGATTTTAACCTCTAATAACAGAATAGAATAGAAAATCATTTGTTCAAATAAACTTAATTTAAGCACTTTTGAATAGTCATAGTTATCATTCTTTTAATCTACCGCTCATTCGGAAAGCTGTCTCATCACAAGAAGAACGAGCAAGAAACTTGCGTGTTGCTCTTTTAAATAATCCTTGTAATTTCACATTTCCAATTTGAACAAACCGCCAACTAGCACTAATTTATTAACTTCTGATATTAAGTACACAATAGGATTAAAACAGTCGTAGTGATTAGAGCAGACCAGTCCCTACAAGCAACATGACAAACTACCGCTACTGCAATCAACTAAATCGCTCTGTTATAGAAATGACTCCATTATTCTCTTACTGCATTGTTTTAGGTATTTTACTGGACTCACTTGCTGTACGTGCCGTTCTGGCTGCTGCTGATATTCCACGGACCTAACTTCTGGAAGTGGTTCGTGGTGCCCGGCACCATCTACATAGCAGAGAGAATTATCAGACTCGCTTGGCTGAGGTTAGTCCCTATGTATATAAATCAATAAATATTCTTAGAGAGTATATGATTGCTTTCATATTGTTTTTACTAATTTGAAATCATTGCTTTCGTAAATCTTAATTTATAAGTGTTTGGTGTTGTTTGGTGTCAGGTCGGAGCGCGGCAACACGTACGTGTCGTCGGGTATCCTGCTGCCGTCGCGGGTGACGCACCTGGTGGTGAAGCGGCCGCCGCTGTTCGACTTCCACGCGGGCGACTACGTGTTCATCAACATACCGGCCATCGCCACCTACGAGTGGCACCCCTTCACCATCAGCAGCGCGCCCGACCAGCCCGGTAACGCGCCACAACTCACACTAGTGCATTCTACCGTCGGCGTATTAATAATTATTTATTTATTTGCAGGTTTTTTGTTTACTGACGGATCTGACTATTAATTTAATAGTCAGATCCTTCAGTATTCTACTACTATGACGATATAAATATTATGCAAATCAAATCAAAACTCATTTATGCATGTAGGACATTTAATTTGATGTAAAGCTATATTAAGATTTTGTTCCTTTTTATTTCACATATATTCATTATTTATGCATTTAATTTCACAGATCGGTGATGGTCACCAAATACATCAGCTTTGATACTCGAACAATTACATATCAATTCCAAACCTTGAAAATCCTTACATTTATGATGTGTATGAATGTATGTAGAGTTAGTCGCTGGTCTGACTGTCACGTTTGATGTGTAGACTACATCTGGCTGCACATCCGCGGCGTGGGCGAGTGGACCAACCGGCTGTACTCGTACTTCGAGCGCGAGCACGCGCGCCTGCACGCGCCGCCCGCCACCGCCGCCACCGCCGCCACCGCCGCCACCACGCCCGACGACCGCAAGTACCACAGCGTCAACATTCATTTATACAACTTCATTCAGACGGACAGACTGTTCAGTAGCGTGTGTTATATCAGTAGCAACTGCTACACTTCTACGTCTACGTTTATTTTACGCCGCATCATCACTGAATTGATTTTGCTTTTATTTTGCTTCATAGATATGAAATCAAATGAACGATTATAATTTAAGGGGGTGTGTGTACACGTCCCTTTAGGTTTAGGTCCATGACCTACTTTATCGAGAACCTGGAATCTTGAAATTAAACAGTCGATAAATAGAATAGAAGTGGTTATTGAGGAGACGTTTCGGCCTTATATACAAAGTTACACGCGTTGCTCCCGGTAGCAATGGCTTGTTACACGTGCCATAAGAATTCTAGGAAAATGCAAGGACTAAAGGTGGCACGTGTAGAAAGTATGCTGCTACAATAATATATACGTTTAAAGGTTTACTTTCAATCGATGCATTCCATTGTTACAAACACAAAGTTACATCAATTTGTTCCGCAGTCACAGCCCCTTCGACCGCAGCATCTCCTGCGAGAGCAGACGCAGCAGCCGCAGCCGGCGCTCCGCCGCCAGCGGCAAGAAGCGCTCCGTCGACTTCGCCCCCGTCGGACACACCAACGACGCCTTCGATGGGGACGTGACCGACAATGGGGAAGTTAAATGTAACTTACCTTATTCTCATATTATTTTATACGACTTGCAGCTGAAAAAAAGCAAATGAAAAGTAATTAACGGTCGTTAATTGTAGACATAAACGGTACACCTTTCATAATGTACTATAGTATAATGCTATTCTAGAAGACCAGTATTTAATATCGGTTAGTCACAAGCACGTCTAGGTAGACTTAGGTAAGAGCACTGCTCATGCAGACGACTCTATTCAAATTTTATTGTGTCGGCTGGTAGCGCCGACCACTGTTCCAGTTCCCTTCCGCGGCTCCTCGCTGCTGACTCCGCTGCGCTTTCACAAGACGCACTCCATGCCGAACGTCTTCAACACTACTATCAAGAAACAACGGCAAATTGCGTATGTCCTTTTTCAATTTCTTCGTTGTTGATGATAAGATTATAATGGGCGTGAGATTTAAGTTTTGGGATGTACAATATAAGATTATTGACGTTTTTTAATATAACGTAATTCTTTCATATGTCAATTTCTTTCAAATGTAAAGTAACGAACCGTTTGTATAGAAGTAACAAGGGAGCAAGATCTGGTTCTTCCTCGACACTTAAAATTTTTCAACAGTCCAAATTTTTTTCTCCCTTTGGTCAAACCTTTCTAGTTTTATTCTATTATTTTAGTTCACGTTGTGCTTATCGTTCTTCCGTTTTAATGACATAAACTACAAAAGATATCAATGTGTCGGTTGTCCTTTCGCAGTCTCCGGGACTACATGCGGTCGGAGTCTGAGAGCCGGTTCGGTCCGTGCTCGCCGGCGGCAGGGGTGGGGGCGGGCGGTGCGGCGGGCGGTGCGGGGGGTGCGGGGGGTGCGCGGGGCGCGGGCCGCGGGGCGCTGCACAACCGCGCGCTGGCGCACAGCTTCCGGTACATGCGCAACAAGCCCGCCGTCGTCGCCTTCAAGACGCCCAGCTACGAGGACTGCGAGCGCCGCCGCAGCAACGACAGCATACTCACCATCGGTGAGCACCCACACGCTACCAGCTACCAGCACCCGCCCGCATGCCACCCGCTGAACGTTTACTGCGTCATTCGTTACCAGACATTTGAATAATTTCTCTAATCCCAATAATTTCATTCGCAGCTAGACGGCGCTTGTCGAAAAGTCTGTCTCCCGACAAAGACATAGAAGCGGAGAAGCCATCCTCCGAGGTGGTCGCCTCGACGGACACGGTGGACGGCGAATTTGCCGACTACCCCATTGGCAAACCTTTGGAAGTAAGCTATTCGATCGATAACGTACTTTCTCCGCTTGACGCCATGACGGCGATTAGATCCTTACTAAGAACGAAACGATTACGTATCGATTAATATATCACACTTTTTTGAACACAATAACAACTATCTACAAGTATATAATCATAATTCAATTCATTATCGCCTAGTGTACATTGCACAGAGGCAAACTGTACGATGTCATCCGATGAACATGACATAGAATTATTGCATGTTTTGTATTCGTACCCAGTAATTGCACTGTAACAGCACTGAGATCTCAGGAACGGCAAACGCACGCGTTAGCATCGTAGACATTACGTGGTCATGTGACGCAGGTGGTAGTTGGATGGACACATACTGTCCTCGATGCTCATTTGTTTGGCCGACACTGATGCCACTATTCATAAAAAAAACAGGCAATACACGTATTCACCCATATTATACACAATCCACCTTACGAACTAACATATTATTATATAGAAAATAATTAAATATTAATATTTATTACACGACTATCTGTCATGGTAGCCGCTGGTTCACCACTCCCTTCAGCTAGTAGTCCTCCTTCACGAAGAGAGACAGCATGTTGGTGAGGACCCAGGACTCTAACATTTTGTCACCCTCAGGTTTAGCTTTAGTTCTGGATATAGTCGACGATGTCCTGTTCGTTGGTGGCGTATTGTGGGCAGGACGGGTAGATATAGAGACGTGTTAAGGGCTGGTTGTTGTGTGTGGCGGTGTCAGGTGTTCCTGGACGGCCCGTACGGCGCGGCGTCGTCGCACATCTTCCGCGCGCAGCACGCGGCGCTGATCGCGGCGGGCATCGGCGTGACGCCGTTCGCGTCCATCCTGCAGTCCATCATGTACCGCTACTGGAGCGCGCGCCGCCACTGCCCGCGCTGCCTCCACTCCTGGGCCTCCGACCTGCCGCACCACAACATGACCCTCAACAAGGTACCCGCCGCACCCGCACTGACTATTGACGTTCTTCCCATATGTACAATCATTGAACTGTTTTGCACGATTTACCCAGAGTGAGTTTCAAAACTCAATTAAATAAATATCATATGGACCTTTAAAATTAAATGAGATAAACTTGTACCGTGCGGGAAATCGAACCCGCGACCATTGGAGCGGCGGTGTTCTAAACCGCTAGACCACCGAGGCGGCATAATCAATGGTGATTATGCCGCCCGAGTTACAATACAAATCTGGTGGGGGAAAGGGGATTGTTAGTAATGTGGATTGATAATCTCATTGCTAGCAATGTACCATGTCAGGTTGACCTCCACGCGGTTCCCCCTGGAAACCCTCCACTCCACTGGTGCCCCGCCAGCGTAAACCGTTAGCGCAGACGATACACCATTCCATTGTCATTCATAAAAAAAGTACTTTTTTTTTTTTTTTTAGAATGCGTATTTTTTTAGTGCAAATGTGTTATGTGCAGGTGGACTTCTTCTGGATAAACCGCGAGCAGCGTTCGTTCGAGTGGTTCGTGTCGCTACTGTCGCAGCTGGAGATGGAGCAGGCGGAGCAGGGCGGCGCCGAGCGGTTCCTGGACATGCACATGTACATCACCTCCGCCCTGCAGCGCTCAGACATGAAGGCAGTCGGCCTGCAGCTCGCACTAGACCTCCTACACGAGAAGGTACTCACACAACAACATACATCTATTTGATCTTCACTTTTCTGAGAGTCGAAACACATTCACCTAATATTTATTTCTGGGGAGAAAAGGAATTATTAGTAATGTGTATTGATGATCTTATTGCTAGCAATGTCAAGCCAATATTGCCCTTTAGATGCAATACACGCCAAAAAATCACTAGAGTCTGTTTCCCCTACTTCACGCTCACGACCGTGTGGCGCTGCGGTCGCAATCGAGTTTACAGAATAACTCTTCTGAAACGATCGACAATACTAAGTGAAATAAAAAATAGTTAGAATGTATTGTACACTGAATTTAATAGGGACGCCACGGAATGTTCGAGAACAACTGAAAAAATGTATAGTAGAGTAAAACAAAACAACATCGATGTTCCATGCGTGACGTTCCAAATTAAAAAATAAAATTTCATAATTTTATTTTTAAATGTATTATATGGTGTTAGCGTATGATACTAGGGGCTGTGTTTATAGTCGGTTTATTGTAAATAAAAGTAGTATATTAAAATAAAAGTAAATTGCAGACATATAAAGTGAGGTAGAACTAATATAGAGTATAAAATAATTAGGAATCAGGAGTACAACAGTTTATCAAATTATCAGGATGTCTGCAGAAGAGATCATATTGTAGTTTTATTTCCCGCGCAAACCTCGTGCGTCACAGATGCAGAATGTTGCGCGGTGCGCAAATGTAGTAGGATAACGAGCACTTCATGGCAGTATGCACGATGTTAATACTATGAGTATTAAAATATGGCTATTTGCGATCGCAAACAGTTTATTTCTGTTTCTGTTTAGTTCCACTATCGCTATGTTTGTATGTATTGATATTTTCAGGAGAAACGCGACTTGATCACTGGTCTGAAGACGCGGACGAACGCGGGCCGCCCCAACTGGGACAAGGTGTTCAAGCAGCTGCAGGAGCAGCACAAGGGCAAGGTGACGGTGTTCTACTGCGGCCCGCCGCAGCTGGCGCGCGCGCTGCGACTCAAGTGCGACCAGTTCGGGTTCCACTTCCGCAAGGAGGTGTTCTGAAACCACCTACCCACCCACCTCCAGCACACCTCCATAATATTGTTATTGTCGCGGAATGATGGATTTAGGACAATGAACAAAGAGCATATAGAATACATAAACAGTTATTGTAGACAAAGACCCCAAAAAGTACAATATAACACTTTATTTGGCTATATATATAAAATAACACGACACGTGGATATTTCGTCCGTGTGTCTATGTCCTCAACGTACAACAATATATGTGACTGCACCAGCTGTGAACAAGTGAACATTCTATAATAGTATAATGTTGTTCATTTACACGAAGCTCGGCTTGGTCTAAATCTATTCAATCCATTACACTACACGCCCGATATGATGATAGACATGTTAATATTTTAGTTATTTAGTTATAAATAAAAATTAATGTGTTTAAGTTATTACTAAGTTGTACAGCATATTGCAGAACTGTACAAAGACAATGTAAGCGCATTAAACGACTCGTAAATTAACAAATTAACCTATGAACAATTGATGACATATACATGAGCAAATGTTCTTATAAGACAATAATTTTAATACTAATAATTAATTCATTACTTTTAAACTTAGTCAAAAATGGTTGTAATTATTTTTATCTGAACAACTGGTATTACAGTTGTTAATAAATAACTTGTAATATAGTAGCGGCAATTTATCACATGTAGCATTTATTGCTGTTTAATTAAGGAAGGCGCTAACACTCCACGCCCATACTCATACATATGTATATACATCACCTCACATTAGTAAGTCGTATCGCAAATAAATATAACAATAAATAGTATGTATTTTATAGTTTAATAACAGTTACTTACCCTTTCATGTTGTCATTAATTAATTAAAGTTACCATTTTCCACAATGCAATAATCATTAAGTTATTGTTACCTGTAGTAGCGTGTATATATTGTATTGTAATATTATTATTAATGTGTTTTACTCGAGGCCAAGAAATCAAACAACACCGAATTGGATAGTAAACAAAGATATATTCGGGTGTAAATCAAACTCAATAATTACAAAATTCCGTACAGTGGTCATAATCAAAGAAAACGAAACTATAGCGCGTTGTACATTTCACCTAGCGCCATCTAGTATAAATATTGAGAACTTTAATTGATATTGGTCGAACATTCCGCCCACCAAGAACTAGTGTTCTTAATGACCGCCCACCATGACATTTATACACAACTAATAAAGTAGGCACCCAATTATTTGAAAAAATGAATATACATATCTAGAGAAATAGAACTAAACATCGTAATGAATACAACAAATATCTTCGCTAGATACTTCGTACATCAGCAAGAATCAAACACTAAATTATACTCTATTAACAATGTGACTAAAACAAATGAAACAAACAAAAACAAACAACGCATTAACAAATCCTTACTAAATGCCAAACAATTAAAAGAAAACAAACAAAGCACAATTACACAAATTAAACAATTACAGAAAAATCAATTTTAAAATACACATTTAGACATGCAGACTTATAGCTATATAACAACTTATTGAACAACTGGCAAAATACAAAGTTTCGATACAGGTCTTTTAATACAATTTTCTTTACAACGCAAGGTGACAACTCTAGTTATATTGTCTGGACCAGGGTGCTTTTCCTCAATTCGACCGAACAACCATCTACTTGGAGGAAGATCATCCTCTTTAATTAAAACAACTTGGCCTATTTGAGGTTCAGGAGTAACTTTTGTCCATTTATACCTGTTGCAAAGTGTTGTGAGATATTCTCTTGACCACTTACGCCAAAAATTTTGAGTAAGTTTCTGCATGAGTTGCCATCTACGCAACATACTGCTATTATGGTTCATGTAATTATTTTCTGGAACTGTAATAAGCGGTTCCCCAATCAAGAAATGGCCTGGTGTGAGAGGCAAACTATCCTCCTGACTAGTGGGTAACCTATACATAGGTCTAGAATTCAAGCAGGCTTCCACTTGGGCCAACAATGTGGAAAGCTCCTCATAGGTTAAGGTGGTACCATCAAGCACACGTTTCAAGTGATACTTTGTTGATTTAACCCCTGCCTCCCAGATACCCCCGAAATTCGGAGCGCGGGGAGGTATAAAATGCCATTCGGTTCCTGTATTTGCTAAACATTGAGCAACTTCATCTAAAATACTCGACTTTTCAGCCTTAAATAAAACACGTAGCTCTTTTGATGCGCCCACAAAGTTCGTGCCGTTGTCGCTCCAAATCTCCTGACAGTGGCCTCGACGAGCCACAAATCTCTTGAAAGCTGCAATGAATCCTTCACTCGTCATATCACTTACCACTTCCAAGTGGATTGCGCGTGTCACCATACACACGAAAAGGCATACATAGCCCTTGAAGCATCGACATCCGCGACCCTTGGATATTCTAACGTTGATAGGACCGCAGTAGTCAACTCCACTTCGGCTAAATGGACGGCTCGCTGTAACACGTGAGCTTGGTAAATCACCCATGAAGGGTTGTTGGCACGAGGTACTATATCGAATACATGTAATACACTTCTTAATATATTGTCTAATTATACTCCTCTCACGTTGATAATCCAGTACCTGGTACTGATATAATTATGCATTAATTGTGGTCCGCCATGCAGCGTTTTCTCGTGAGCATCTGCTACAATTAACTTAGAGATATGATGATCACGCGGCAAGATTATAGGGTGTTTCGCATCATAATCTTCTTGACTATGCTCTATACGTCCACGTACTCTCATTATATGTTTATCATCTAGGAATGGACACAAAGACAATATTTTACTACCTTTTGGGATGGATCGACACTTCATCAACTGTTCAATTTCAATGGGAAAGGATGAGCTTTGGCAGTGTTTCAGGCAAATGTTCAGACTATAATTTAATTCAGCAGCTGTAAGATAGGAAGGTAACAATTTTCTATGTTTCAGTTTATTAACGATCCTCAAACAAAAAGCAATTACTCTTATCAACTTATTGAGTGATGAATATTTAGTCCAGACAGGCAGTTCTTCATTACTTCGATCTGAGACAGCAAGGTAAGATTTAATGGCTTTTTTCTCCAAATCAGTAGACAAATTCTCAATTAGAGGAAACTCGTAATAGGATTCATGTAACATCTGCGGTCCATGCCACCATAATCCATGCTCGATCAATTCCCCTGGCCTCAATCCTCGAGACGCGCAGTCAGCAGGATTTTGATTAGACTCAATATGTGACCATTGACTGCTGTCTAAAACCTCTAATATTTCAGTTACTCGGTTGGCGACAAACGTCTTCCAACGGTTTGGTTCGCCTTTCAACCAGGCTAAAACTATGGTTGAATCAGTCCAAGCACGTAATCGAACCTTGGATACATTCATGACTGATGACACCTCCGATAACAATTTTGCCAAAAGTACCGCGCCACAAAGCTCTAAACGAGGTATGGAGATCTGCTTAATGGGAGCAACCTTAGTCCTCGCTCCTATCAAGTTAACATGAACTTCTCCAAACTTGTCTTTAATACGAGAATAAACGACTGCACCATATGCATCGTTGGAGGCATCACAATATCCGTGGATTTCTATGTCAGTGGTATCGTATGTTGCGTGCATCCACCGAGGCAATTTGACTTGATTAAGTTTTGGCAATTCTTCTCGAAATGAAATCCATTTATCTAGCAGATCAGATGGCACTTCCTCATCCCAGCCAAGTCCTGCAAGCCAGAGCTTTTGAATGTATATCTTCGCTTGAATAATAACCGGTGCAATCCAACCCAGTGGATCAAAAAGGCGAGATATATCGGACAAAATGACTCTCTTTGTAATTGGCTGCTTTTGTGGATGTAATTTAATTACGTACTCAAATTCATCAGATGAGACATTCCATGACACTCCTAAAATTTTGACCAAATCATCTGTCTTAATCACCAAGTTTCTGTCTGCTTTGTTGTCTTCTTGAATTTCTTGCATAAGTTTCTGACTATTACTTGCCCATTTCTGCAATTTAAATCCACCTCTTTCTAATAATTCGACCATTTGATTGTATATATCAACTGCTTCCTCTTCCGTCTGACAACCTGACATAAGGTCATCCATATAAAAATCTTGCAGTACTCTATCAGCTGCCAAAGGGAAGTGCTTGCCTTCATCCTTGGCGACTTGTTGAAGTGACTTTACTGCAAGATAAGGCGCAGAAGAAACTCCAAAAGTTACTCTCAGGATACGGTATTCCCTGAAGGGCTCGTTTGAATTGTGTCTCCACAGAATTCGCTGAAATCTGGTGTCCTCGTCATGTACCTTAACCTGCCGGTACATCTTGATGATATCTGCCACAAAGCAAATTGGATAAGTACGCCACTTCATCAATAGATGTCTCAACTCTCCCTGCAATCGTGGACCGGTAAGTAGGTCATCATTCAATGATTTACCATTATTCCCTTTACACGAAGCATCAAACACCAGACGAACCGCTGTGGTTGATTTATCTAACCGAACAACAACTAACAACGGTAAGTAAACGGCATCTGCTCTAACCTTTTCTCTTTCTTCAGTTATAAGTTCCATGTGATTCATATCTATATATTCTTCTATTACTTTTGAACATTCCTTTCTTAGAATTGGATCCTTTTCTAACTTTCTTTCCATAGTCAGTAATCTCTTTTTAGCTATTTCTTTAAAATCTCCTTGTTCGCAATCAGGATTATTCTTGCGAAACGGAAGTCGCACAACATAACGACCTGATTCATCCCTGGTTGTAGTCTTTCCATAATACTCTTCACAAGCTTTATCTTCTTCTGACATGAAATTCTGCTCTTTACCAGACTCCAACTCCCAGAACTTACGCAATATCTCATCAGAATTATCCAGCGAATGCATGCTAACTATGCTGGAATGGTGACAATGATGGTTTACTTCTACTCTACCGGATAATATCCACCCCAGCTGTGTATCTTGAGCAGTGACACTGCCCTTTCTAATAATATTATTCGTTAGGATCATTCCATAAACATCCGCCCCTAGCAACAAGTCTATCTTACTAGGTGTACCATAACCGGGATCAGCCAGAGTTAAACCTGATAATTCTGGCCAATCTTGAATATTAAGTTTTTGAGCTGGTAAACTGGATGACAAAGCGTTCAAAACATAGGCCTGAATTTCATAACTAAACGAGGTATAAATGGACTGTATCTTAAAAATGACCATATGTTTGATGGATAAGTTAAACTGATCTCCACCCAAGCCAGATACTATTCCCTTGAAAGGAATTTTACGAAGCCCTAATAATTGAACAACACGCTCCGTAACGAATGAGGCTTGAGAACCCTGATCCAGTAATGCTCGCAGTGTATAACAATCTCTATTAGTGTCTACGTGTACTAAAGCCGTAGCCAACATTACTTGACCAGGTGATGATATTGAGCCATTAGCAAAATGTGTTGAAATTCGACTTGATTCTTGAACCTCCTCTCTCTGCACATTTTCTTGCTCTTTGTGCTCGGATTCATTCGTTTGATTTAGTTCCATATTAGACGATGAACTCGAATTTCCCTCAGGGTGCAGTAAAGAGTGATGTCGCCGTCCGCAACGCCTACAAGTGGTACGTCTCTTACATCGGCTCACTGGATGATTACTTCCAAAACAGTTGAAGCATAATTTATTTTTCTGAATAAATTCATGACGACTTTCATAACTCTCATTACAAAACTTTTCACATTGGAATAATAGATGACTTTCTTTACAAAAGGAACAGGAGATTGCGGTAACACTAAAAACTTTTGGTCTCTCTACTTTATCATCATTTCTCTCGTTATTATGAAGACATTCCATAGCCAAAAACCTGCATTCTAGGAATTTATTGAATTCCTCTAACGTTGGTAATATGTCTGAGTGGTCACTGATCCTGTGCTCCCACTGAACTCTAGTACTATTATCTAGTTTTAATGACACAAGATGTATAATGATAATGTCCCAAGAAGATGTATTGACTCCTATATTAGATAATGCACTCAGGCAATCATTTGTTGTGTCCAGTAACTGCTTGATTCCGTTTGCAGACTCTGTCATCAACTTCCTTTGACCGACCAGTCTCGTGAGAATTGAATTAGCAATATAGCGCCTATTATTATATCTCTTTTTTAGCTTATTCCAACACTGTGTATAATTAGCGTCTGTGATTGGGATATGACGTAATATCTGTTCAGCTTCTCCACTGAGGTGTGCCTTTAAGTAGTGCAACTTTTGAACTTCTGCTAAAGATGTATTACTGTCGATCATAGAAACAAATAAATCATGGAAAGACTGCCATTCCAAATATTTTCCTGAGAAAATTGGTAAAGAAATTCGTGGTAAATGAGCAATACTACTTCCAGAAGGCGAGTTTGAAGATTGATCTTTACTGTTCTCCTCTTTTTCCTTTGGTTCATCTTTTTTTAATAATGCCATAGAATCTTGGAGTGCACATTTAAATTCAACATATAATTCTTCAACTTCATCAAATAGACTTAGTTTAAAATAACTTATATCTTTGTCTGTATCTACGGCTTCTTTTAAAATATTCCGATGATTTTCTTCAAACTCCCGCCAATTATTATTTAAAATATTTAATCTCTCTGCAAAATATCCATATGAACTACGACTTTTTGACTTTTTATAATTGCTATAATTTTTATTTATTTTATCTTGAATACTTTTCTGAATTTTCATTAAACCTTCCATTTTTGTTTTAGTAAATTGCCAATTGAAAGTTGAAAGTCAATTAATAACCGTTTGCACTGAGTCTTAAACGATACACTGGGTGAGTGAGCATAAAAAAATACAAATGTCTATTCACAATGTCGCACTGATTACTAAAGTTCAAGTTATTAGAGTTAGTTCAATAATCACTGAATGTTACAATATTTAGAATCACAAATTTTTCTAAGTTTTTTATTAGAACCCGAAAATTTTACAAGTGTTTTTTGCATTTATTTCGCTGTGTTTTCGGGCATAGGTTCCCCGTCTCACACAATTTTGGCGAAATATTCTAAGTCCAGTTCACTAATTATTTTTCTAAGTCCCTAAGCTACTCCTAACCAATAATAACTTGATTGTACTTACAGTTCGTCCCAGCTACTTACGACACTAAATCACTAGCTCACTCACCACCGAACTTCACTTCACTAAAGTACCACTAGAGGATGCCACTGACCGGGTCGATGGCCAATGTTTTACTCGAGGCCAAGAAATCAAACAACACCGAATTGGATAGTAAAGAAATATATATTCATGTGTAAAATCGAACACGATAATTATAAAATTCCGTACAGTGGTCATAATCAAAGAAAACGAAACTATAGCGCGTTGTACATTTCACCTAGCGCCATCTAGTATAAATATTGAGAACTTTAATTGATATTGGTCGAACAAATGTAATTTCATTGTATTGCATAATTATGTTGACGATTATAATGTATTATGTGCCATTACGCCATTTGTAAATATAAATATATTTTTTAACTA